TGGGCAGATGTTACATGCATCCAGCTGCTGTCTTGTAGAAGGCCTCCTAGGCAAAGACTTAAGGGGTAAACAGATTCTATCTGTTGACCAGCCTCGCACCCCTTCCTCATCTATTAGGCTGGCGCAGATGTATTTTTAATACATTGTTTCCAGTTTAGGATGTTGAACGCTGGATCTTCTTGACTCAATGCGTGGGTATTGCTTGTGTCTCTATTTTTATGACTGGGCAACTCATTCTATTATCTCCTAATGAGGGTACAGCTCTAAAACTCAGTTTTATGGTTCTGAGGCCGGCTGGTAGTCAGGTTTCCCGAACTCTGTGGTAGCTCTCAGAGAGGCTGATTCCATCAACAGCCGAAAAATATCAGAGTACTAACAGTGCCATGTTGCGCATGGATGGTGTCCCTGTTTGTACTTTTGGTGTGCATTGCAGAGGCCACATTTGGAGCCCTTTGCTACGGCTTAGGGTTTATTAATAGTAATGAGGCTATTGCTTAGTTGTTAAATAGTGTACTGAGTACTATCTATACTTGAGTCAAGTTCTTTATAAATTTAAAATGACTAAAGTACCTAAAACTAATAAACACAAAAAACCATCGTCATCACCAAGTTCTCTAAACCTATCATTTACTAATATTCGTGGTCTTCGAAGTAACTTTTCTTCTGTTGAGTCTTATCTCTTGCAAAGTTCACCAGACCTACTTGCTCTTTGTGAGACTAATTTGAGTTCGGCTGTCCCATCTTGTGATCTTAGTGTTGATGGTTATCTTCCTTTAATTCGTAAAGACTCCAATAATCACATGCTTGGCCTGGGCATCTACATTCGTAAGAACTCACCCATTTGTCGTGAAACTAGGTTTGAATCTACAGACTATTCATTTATGTGCTTTCGTTTAGCACAACTTCACTCTATCGCCTTTCTCTTTGTTCTATATCGCTCTCCTTCATCCCAAGATTGCACTATTCTTGATGTTATTTCTGATCAAATTGACCAAGCCCTCTCTCTTTATCCATCGGCCAATATCGTCGTTGTTGGTGACTTTAATGCCCATCACACCGATTGGCTTGGCTCTAGTGTCAGTGACTCTGCTGGCGTTAAGGCCCTCAACTTTTGCCTTTCTCAATCTCTAACTCAAATAGTCAACTTTCCAACTCGTTTTCCAGACAACCCTAATCATTTACCTTCTCTACTCGACTTATGTCTTGTTTTGGATCCTAGTCAGTGCTCAATTTCTCCACATTCACCCTTAGGTACTTCTGATCACGGTTTGATCTCTCTAAAACTATTATCAAATTCTTCTACTTCATCAGAATCCCCCTATCATCGTACCACATACAACTACCTTAAAGCTGACTGGGACTCTTTCCGTGATTTTCTTCGTGATGGCCCTTGGGTAGAAATCTTTCGTCTTCCTGCTGACAAATGTGCTTCTTACATAACTTCGTGGATTCAGGCTGGCATGGAATCTTTTATTCCCTCTCGACGATTCCAGGTCAAGCCTCACTCTTCTCCTTGGTTTTCCTCACATTGCGCTGCAGCAATTTCTAATCTAAACCGTTACTTCCATATCTATCAGCAAAACAATTCTCCAGAAAACAGACATCTGTTCACTATCGCCAGAAACCATTGTAAAAAGGTTTTGTCTGACGCCAAAACTCGCTATTCCCAGGTCATTAAATCTCGTATCTCATCACAAAAATTAGGCTCTCGAGACTTCTGGAGAATCTTTAACAGTATCAATAATAAGGGCAAATCTGTTATTCCTTCTCTCTTGTATGGTTCAGACTTTGTCACCTCACCTAAAGACAAAGCTGAATTGTTTGCAAAGAACTTTTCATCAATATCATCTCTTGATTCCACTAGTTGCGTTTTACCTGACATAGCCGTCAAACAGGTTGATCCCTTGCTTGACATTCGCATCACTTCAGCTTCTGTATCTAAAGTAATTTCCTCCTTAGACTCTTCAACAGCTTGTGGTCCTGACAACATTCCTGTTGTAGTCTTGCAGAGGTGTTCTCCGGAGCTTTCATCCATACTTTCTAAACTATTTAACAAATGCTTATCAGAGTCTTGTTTTCCATCATGCTGGAAAGCAGCATCTGTTATCCCTATTTTCAAAAATTCCGGAGAGCGATCTGATTCATCTAACTACCGTCCCATTAGTCTTCTTCCTGTCATAAGCAAAGTTTTTGAATCTTTAATCAACAAACACTTAATCTCTCATCTTGAATCAAATAACTTACTTTCTGATCATCAATATGGATTTCGGTCTTCTCGTTCTACAGCTGATGTGCTAACAGTAATAACCGATAGGTTTTACCGTGCATTAGATAGAGGTGGAGAGGTTAACGCTATCGCACTTGACATTTCTAAAGCTTTTGATAAAGTTTGGCATGCTGGTCTTCTCCATAAGCTTTCTTCTTATGGTGTATCTGGTAACGTCTTTAAGATTATTGAGTCCTTTCTTTCCAATCGTAGTATAAAAGTTGTCCTTGATGGACAACACTCTTCTTCACATCCTGTAACTTCAGGGGTTCCTCAAGGTTCAATCCTTGGCCCTATACTCTTTTTAATTTACATTAACGATCTTCCAGATATTCTCACATCTAAGGTGGCATTATTCGCTGACGACACTACCATTTACTCTTGTCATGATAAGAAGCCTACACTCTCTGATTGCTTGGAGGGGGTATCTGAGCTTGAAAAGGATCTCACTTTTGCTACAGCATGGGGCTCACAGTGGCTGGTGAACTTTAATTCAGATAAAACTCGAATATTGGCCGAATAAAAAGAATAAATTTTATTCGGCCAATCGTTATCGTAATAATTTAGATCTTCCTATATTTATGAATGGTAATGTACTAGATGAGTCATCTACCATTCATCTTCTAGGATTAACTCTTACTTCTGATCTTTCTTTTAAACCGTATATCAAATCCATTGCAAAATTAGCATCTGCTAAGGTTGCATCTCTTTATCGAGCTCGACACTTTCTTACTCCAGATTCTATTCTCTATCTCTATAAATCTCAAATCCGTCCCTGTATGGAATACTGTTGCCATATCTGGGGCGGATCTTCTAATGATGCTCTTTCTCTTTTAGACAAGGTGCAAAAACGAATTGTAAACATAGTTGGACCTGCTCTGGCAGCCAATCTCCAACCTTTGTCACATCGTCGTAATGTTGCTTCTCTTTCTCTTTTCTACAAATACTATAATGGGCACTGCTCTAAAGAGCTAGCGTCCCTTGTGCCATCTACTAAAATTCATTCTCGTGTTACTCGCCATTCAATTAAGTCTCATCCTTTTTCTGTGACTGTTCCTAAGTGCTTCAAAAACTCTTATTGTTCTAGTTTTTTTCCTCGAACATCAGTTCTTTGGAATTCGCTTCCTTCATCTTGCTTTCCTGATTCATATAATTTGCAATCTTTTAAGTCATCAGTCAATCGTTATCTTGCTCTACAGATTTAGTCTTTTCTCTTCCAGTAACTTCCAACTCTTATAGTGGTGTCTTGCAGCCTTGTTGGAAGTGAAGATGTTAAAAAAAAAAAAAAAAAAAAAAAGATTGGAATAAGTCTTCATACACATCAGTGAAGTGTTCAACTACAGATAAGTCTCAAGGAAAAACGTGAGATAGAAAAAGGTTTCAGTGGAATGGAGAAATTTGCAAATTACATGAGTTTGTTAAGTATGACAAACAGTTCATTTAATTACTTACAAAAAAATGGCAATATGATAAAATCAAAGGAACTTCTTTCTATAAAAACAAAATATCACTACCAAAGTGGAGTCATGATATAATTAAGCCTATATTTTTGATTTATTAGCTGATACCTAGTTATTAAAATGTCTCCATGGGGAAACTCAAAATGCTAATGAATGTTTTAATTCATTACTGTGACAAAAGTGTCCAAAATCAGTTTTTGTTACCAGAGAGGTTTTTGAAATGGCAGTATACTCTGCAGTCTTACATATTAATGATGGAGGAAATGGTATTAGAAAAGTTTTATCATCATTTGGATGTGATGGTTTTGTAACAGCCACTAAAACTCAGAAACAAGAAATTCTTCGAATAACATGTATGGAACACAAATCTCGTCAACCTATTAAAGAACGTAGGAAAACTTTAAAAACAATAAAAAAATGTATCTTGATATTGAAAACCAAAAGAAACAACTGGGATATGAAGGGGGTTTTTGACGCGTTTGATATGAAGGGGGTTTTTGATCCGTTTGTTCAACTTGTAATTGTCTAAAACTATAAAAATAATTTTAAAACTTGATTTACTTGATTTTTAGTTTTTACAACTTTTCAAAGGTTCAAAACATTGTAATTTTAGTTAAAACACCTGCTTTTGACTTGAAATCTTTACAATTTGTTCTTTATAGTTAAGAGATTCATTTATGCCATGGATTTATAATACTGATAATGATGTAACTATTTTTAGTTGTCCTGTGATGAAATTTTCATTTTTTTACACTAAAGTATACAAAAAAGTATGAATAATCGAGGCAAATTAGTTTCAACTTTTTTTTTTCAATTTTTAAATATATATTTTATTATTTAAAGAAAAAAATTATCTTGGTAGAGGTTATTTTTATCAAAAGAAATTTCTTATAGGTGAACCACCTTTGGTTCTTATTTTCTAAGGGTTAGAAAATAAAAATTACTTATGCTTGAAATTTTGCCAAAAGTAACAAAAGTTCTTTCCACTTTTTATTAGATTTGTCAAAATTTTCTTTTCTCACCTCATGTCATAGTTGTTGGTTACTTTATTTAAAATAAAAACAAAAAATTTGATTTATGTAAAAATAAAAAATATAAATATAGTTTTACACGCATATTTTCTTTTTTTATGCATAAAAAAATGCATTAAACAAATAATTACTTGATATTCAAACAAATAAATACTTAACATTCATACAACAACTGTCAAGATTTTATCAATTTAAGCTTTTGTTTCAATGGTTTAAAAATAAAAGTTTATTAATAATTTTTAGCGAGATGCAACTTCCATGGTTTAGTATTGCAAAGCGTGAAGTTCAATTGAGAGAAGCTAAAGAAAAGTTGATGAAGAAGAAAAAGAAATCCTTTCTTGTCTAAAGATATTAACTACTGTCTAAAGATAATAATTACTGAAATATAAATTTATTTTATACATATATATATATATATATATATATATATATATATATATATATATATATATATATATATATATATATATATATATATATATATATATATATATGTCTTGTATTTATGTCTTTGAAATGAGTTCATATTTTGCCTGACTTTAGAGCAAGGTGTGTGTTAGGTGTTTAGTAAGCATTTTATTATGTGTAGTAAGTTGCATATTTTATTTGTATATACGTTGTTTTTTTTAATCATATCGTTACAGTGAACACTGAAAACCTGACTTGAACCAAATTGAATTTTTTTTAGAGCTTCTGATAATTACAAATACGCGTTGTTTTATTGTTCTTTTACTTAGATCGAAAAAATAGCAGAAGAAACAAATACGTTTAATATATAGTCCGTAAACGTCATACTCCTTATTTCTTGCTAAAATATATTACTGTATATTAGGGCTCCCACTACTCCTTAAAAACCTTAAATATCCTTAAAAAATAAAAAACTCCTTAAATGTCCTTAAAATTTGACTGCACTCATTAATTTTTTCTTATTTTTTTTTTTTAATCATCTAGGAAGTTTTACTTAAGTGAATTGATTATACTTATTAATAAAGAAGAAAATATATAGTTCTTTGATAGCTTACAAATCTATATTTTTAGTAAATATATTTTTATATATATTATAAAGTAATATTAATATTATAAAGTAATATTATAAATAAAATATAATATATATATAAAGTAATATATTATTTTATAATAATTTCTCTGTTTATATTTAAAGTTTATTGAAAAAAATAAGATTCTGTTTTTAATATAATCATTTTCTCCTTAATTCTCCTTATTTTTTCTTTCAAAAAATTTTTGTTCGCAACCAAATCTCCTTAAATATTAGAAAAATATATCCTTAAATCTCCTTAAAATCCTTACTTTTAGCCTCAGATTTAATAGTGGGAACCCTGTATATATATATATATATATATATATATATATATATATATATATATATATATATATATATATATATATATATATATATATATATATATATATATATATATATATATATATATATATATATATTATATAACTAGATGTCTAACTTCGATCCGAAAAGTGAAGCCGCTTTTTGCCCATTTTAACAAATGGCGAATTAAATTTGTAAACAAATATTTTTAATTTTTCTTTTCTTAAATGAAGTAAATATATTTTAAATTTAAATGCTATTTATGTAAAAGTGTTAAACGGAAGTTATAATACTTGTAAAATAGTTATTGTAATAATTAATTAATATAATAATTGTAAAATACTTGTAAAATAGTTCATGATTCCTTAATTTATTTTCGATTAAAAAGGGATTAAAGTTTTGAATAGAAAAGTAAAACGACAGACGCTTTTAAAGCATTTTTATGAATTAAAATACTTTTTAACAAGCATAAACTCATAAAAAAACTTTTATAAGTATTTTATAATTATTAAAATTTGTTTTTGAATTAACTTTAATTTATTGGGAACTTTTGACTTGCATTTTTATCTTTTATTCCACACTTCGCCTTCCTTTTTACAAATGGCGGACTATTGTTATAAACAAAAAAAGCCGCTTCATTTTTTGCTTAATAAAATCCCGCAAATTAGACGTTTAGTTTATATAATATATCATTGATATATATATATATATATATATATATATATATATATATATATATATATATATATATATATATATATATATATATATCATTGATATATATATATATATATATATCATTGATATATATATATATATATACATTAACAAAAAATTTTAAGTTTTCTTGACTGACTTTAGGAAATTCGCGAAAAGTCAAATGAAATATTATCTCGTTTTAAAGAGTCGCAGTGAGTTTTCTGAATCTAATAGCCTTAGGGGTCGTCCATAATACGTACGCTCTTTTTTTGTCCACCCACCCCCTCCCCTGTATTTTACAATACGCTTTTTTGAGTACTCTCCACCTCCCTAAAAGTAACTACGCTTTTAACCTATTTATCAAACATTTTATGATATTTTTTTTAATTTAGTGTCTCCTTTCTTTCATAATTGATCCACTGCCCTCTCATCTCATATAGAACATTTGCAAACCCCCTCTTCCCTCCGAGCGTACGTACTTTATGGACGATGCCTTACTGAAACTAAATCAAAAAGCCCAATACCCAAAAACTTCAATCACATATTAAGTGTAAAAATGAAACACGAAGATATTTCTACTGTAAAAGAATTATCAAGATCTGGAATTCTCTACCTGATTATATTGTCCACTTAGTCTTTGTTCAAATCAAATTTAAAAAAGTACAATGTTCATCACCGTTGCACACTATTTTAAGTAGTTTTTTTTTTTTTTTTTTTTTTTTTTTTTCAGTGTTACATAAGAGTAAGATTTTGATATTACCTGTATCATCTTTTTGTATTTCTTATTTTTGAATGCAAAAATAAAATAAAAAGCCGCCAGTTACTAAAATTCTATGAGAGTTATAATTTTTAGCTTAGTTTTTTCAAATAACTTTACAAAATAAATCTGCGTTTTTGCTTTGCTAACTATTTTTTGTAAACATTTTATTACCAATAAAATACTTTTATTAAGTAATATGTAATTAAGAATATCTCATGCGTTTGAAAATATTTTAATTGATATGCAAGTTCTGTTTAATAATATGGTAGGGTGGGGTAATGTGGGTCTAATCAACATTTATCAGTTTTTCAGTCATAAGGTTTTAGGTAGAAGTTTTTTTTTCTTAATGTTTTAGGTTAAAACAGCTCTCTAAATTGTCTAAATAATGTTTAAGGTTATAACAGCTCTCTAAATTGTCTAAATAATGTTTTAGGTTATAACAGCTCTCTAAATTTTCTAACTAATGTTTTAGGTTATAACAACTCTCTAAATTGTCTAAATAATGTTTCAGGTTAAAACAGCTCTCTAAATTTTAATTATTAGCTTACTAGGCAAATTCTTCAGAATATTTTTTATTCAAAATGGCACATACATTTAAAGAGAGATTTTTATCGAAAACCTTCAGAAAACTTCAGAAAAAAGGTATTAAAAACGAGGTCTAACACATAGAAAATGTTTTATCTCGAAGAAAAATTACCAGATAATTAAGTTCAATTAATCTTAAGACGGAATGATGCATAGTTTTTTAAATAAGCTACATTTTTGGGTGGGGTAATCTAATGCTTATACAAAAATAAATACTTTTAAAATGAAAATTACTATAAATTAGAAGTCTTATTTAAATTAGAAGTAAATGTTTCTGAGTTCATTTTTCTGGAGTCATATTGTTATGGATTCCTTTAGATGGTCATTAAAAATGTAAAATTTCAATTAAAACTAGTAGATAATGCAACGTAGCAGTTTTGAAGGATTGCAGAATGGTTTTTATTATATAAGCATGCTGTTTTTGTAAGATAATGAATCTCTAATATATAACATAAAAAAATTTGGATAATTTTCTATTAAAGCTTCCGCTTTAAATTCTTCCTTAAACATAATTTCATCATGCTTTTGGCATTATAAGTACTTTGACTTTTAAAATTGAGTATCGTATCTTCAATTTAGAGAATTTATTTTATATATTAAGAAAAACCGTAAAAAAAACTATGAGAGTTGTACCATGACGGTCCACAGAATGCCAGAATTTTTTTTTCGTGGCCTATAGTCCCAAAAAAGCCAAATCTTCTAAACTTTTTTTTATTTCATTATTGAAACATAGGTGTTTTACTCCACTTAAAAATGGAAAAGTTTAATTACTAGAGATGAAGGCAAGCTGCTAGAACCATTCATAATGGCATTAATATTGTTAAATTTTTGCAAAGTTTTTTTTTTCAAAAATACTTATCCTCAAAATTTACATAACTTTTTTCAATTAAAAAAGCTTTTTATTTTAAATAAACATATTAACTTAGTGCTTATAAAAAGTATGTTTTAGTTACTTGCATTTAATTTATTCATAATGTCTTAGAATTGTTGGTATTTTAAAGGTGTTTTTCTAAATTTCCTCATCTTCCTTTTTCTAAATGCCACTCGAAGTAAATACGTAAAAATTGAACATTTAAGTATTCGATTCCAACTAAATGCCGCTCTCTTGAAATTGGAATTAATGATATTTAGGAAGTATAACAGTTGTTTAAATAAAATCAGCTTAGCGATATTTTAGACTTAAAATCGATTTTGAAATTTCAAGATTTTCGACTAATTTAATTCTTATTTTACAATGCATTGTGACGTAAAAAATTTATTTGTCTGGAAAGTTGAGGTTTATATGATACTATAAGTTTATATGAAAACTAGTTAGTTGATAATTGCAGCGATTTGATTGCAATTATGTTTCGAAAGTAATAAAATTATTTGAATAAATTTCCACTAAATTATAGATATTTAAATTTTCTCTTTAAGTAGCATTATTAAAACTCTTATGTTATAAATAATCAAGTTATCTTTTAAAAATGTTTAATAACATAACTTCGGCTTGAAGTATTTGAAAAAAATAAAGACACTATTTCATCACAAACTACTTCAAGACAAATCGTAATCAGTATAATAGTATGATCAAAATTTAGCAAAAATATTTTCGAAATAAGAGCAAATTTTTAAGTGGCGAACGATTTTAGCTTCATAATAAGATTTTGTCTTTAATTAATCAGCAAGCTAGCGAACAATAATCACAAACCGACGATTTAAATGTTTCTTGTTTAAATAAACAGTCATTAGAGAGACCATGTCAGAAATACGAAGATATGTCCTACCAAAGTAAACGTCGTCACGCATTCATATTGTTAGTAAATCATGATCATGATAAAATCTTACAAGCAGCAGAAATGGGGTTTAAAAAAAGCGATATAGTTTGCTGTATGTATTTAAAGAATGTTTATCAAATACAGATTCGGCAAATCAAATTAAATGTTTTATTCAGGACAAAACAAGCAAATTGTCCTTAATACGTCACTAGAGGGATTAGCATTAATAACAGATATGAATTTATCGAAGACGAAATATCAAGCTTTGCGAAATAACATAATTATAGAGATGGCACTTTTACTTACTTTTTTTTTTTTACTTACACGAGTAAGTAAATTTTTTTGAAAAAGTTTATTATGTAAGTAATTGTCACCGTTCAAATTAAATTTACATTTACAAAAAAGAAATTAATTTTTATGAAACGACTTTTACTTTACGAAGTAAGTTTTTTTTACTTTCAAAAGTAACTTTTGTAAAAAAAGATTACTTCAAAAAGTAATTTACTTTTACAAGTAAAAGTA